ACATTCAAATTCAAGAGTGTTCCAACGGCAAAGCTAAAACATCACTTCTAACTTAACTCTAACCAACATGAGATTGTTCTGACAAATATTTTTGTTCTTTTCAACGGATAAAGGTACTTCCATTTAATGCCGAGATTACGGATAGTCAAGAATCTTTTTTTTTTTTGTCAATGAAAAATTTGTATTCATTAAAACCAATGTAAAAGTTTATGTACATCACTTCTCTCAATTGAGATATCTATTTACATTTTAAAACAGAAAACCGAAACCTGAAACACAATGTCCCTATGCTGAAATCAGCCAGTCTTTGAGATCAGGAGGGCTAGAGTTGTTTAGAGAAATAGTTAACGACTCCACCTTGATTTCTTTGATCAGAACTTCTGGAGCTCTACACTTCTGCTTGAAAATTCTCTCATTTTTTCTTTCCAAATACAATATATTGAAGTGGACAAAGCCATTCTTTTAAATCTTTTTTTGAAACCCCTCCCCTTCAATCTGTTACAATACCAGTTTATAAGCAGATTCCACTCACAGGTTCTCCATTTGAATTGATGCCAGTTTGTAATCCCATTCCAGACTTCTTGAGAGAAAGAACAGGAGAAGAAAAGATGATTTCTATTTTCCAAACTGGTACCTGAACATAGGCTGCAGCAATTTGATGGAATAATACCTCTGCTTTGAAGTTTGTCTTGAGTAAGAAGCTTGTTTTGGATTGCCAACCAGAACACAAAATTGTGTTTGGGATAATTCCAGTTCTCCCAAACTGTATCATGCCAGAGAACTTTAGTAGAAACCGGAGATAGGGCATTATACAAGCCTGAAATGTGAATTTTGGAGTTCTTGTTACAGGAGCTGATCACTCTCTTTAAATTATCAATTCCTCCACAAGCTGAGATGGCTTTGTTTCTGGTTTTAAGAAGCTGTCTCCATAACCAGGAATCATTCCTCTTGCTTACAACATTCCACACATCTCCATTTCTAATATAGTTACCATGCACCCATTTGATCCACATAGATTCTTTGTTTTCATGAATGGACCATAGAGTTTTCAGAACTGCAGCCATGTTCCAAGTAATTGCAGAAAATATGCCTAAACCACCATATGTTTTACCAGTGCAAACTTTGTCCCAAGAAACTAACGGAGGCCTGAGCACTTGATGATAGTCAAGAATCTTGAAAATGCTTAGACCCCAGTCTCATGCCTACTCCAACGTGGCACCTGTAAGAAACCCTAGGGAACGTGCACTAGCCACTTCTCCCACGAGCAGTACGTGCATTGCAGCCAACATCCATGAGCGCTCCTCAAGATGGGCCCTACAAGTGCCACGCTGGCAGAATTTGTGAACAGGACTCCTTATTTCAGAATCACAATCTTTTGAGGCTCGACTCGAAAAAAGATGGAAGCATAAAATGTTGCCATATCTCTTTAATTCCCAGGTGAAGAATAATCCGAGGTCTAGTCGTCCACTTCCCTTCGGCTCACTATAAATTCAAGGTCAGTGCAGTTTCAACTTGCTCAATATAAAATCTCTAGCTATATATTTCTTCAAATATGGTTGTTGTCACTACTTGTGAGAAATTTTATACTAAAGGTTTGGTCCTTGTTATCATGACCCATGCCGATGAGAATTATGAAGCCGATGGAGATGACGACGACGATGATCATGACGGCGATATTGCTCCCGCAGCTTAAGATATATAGAGACAATATCATGATGAGCTTATGGTATATGCAGACAATAGTATAACAGGTTCCTAAGTGTTAACTTATAAGTACTAATACTACTTGAAAGCTTTCTTATATGGATTTCAATAAGGAGATGTACGTTTTGCCTGTAGCATGTAGACCTAGGGTTTGGTCTGAGATGATGTTGTGAGGTTTATCCTCTCTTGTATTACGATATGTGAGAGGGTTTAAATAAATATGTATCTAACAAATGAGTTCATATGTATAATAGAAAAATATAGTTTATGGTAGTCCATACATATGACCCACAGTGCATGTTTTTTAGTGCTATATTCTCTCTTTTTCCTTCCCCTCCTTTCTTGCAGGTGAAGATCTTTTCCTTATTTTATAGTTTAAAAGAGAATTAATGTTTCCCCGCATATAATTACATGATTTTTATTTGATGGGACCTGCATATTGTAGATGATTAATTGCATGTGATAGTAATACTGTACTTTCATAGTATTAGGTAGGACGAGATGTGCTTTCCTTTTATTAAAAAATCATTTTTGTTTTATGCCTTATTCTATCATTCATCAACGAAAGAAATAAAAGTCAACTCGTGCTTGATCCCATGTCTTCCTTCAAATATAGAAATTTAATCGAATAAGGAAGAAATTCTACACTTCTCATGATCATTGCTAATTTTAGATGAAAAGCCTGATTGATGACGTCGTCTCAAATTTCATTTTTGTATTAATTTTGTATATGTTAATTTGTCATAGAATCCACTTTTAGCCTGCAAAATGATGATGATGATTATTTGCCTTTTCATTGCCTTCTCTTTATGCTCTCTTTAGCTTAGGTTAATTATCTTCTTTAACTGGTTTAAACCTAGCTAGGCACTGATTGATTGACATATTACATTTTTAGATGATTTATTTGCTATGGAGGTAGATATATCATTAGCGCAGTTGAACTTAACTGTGATGGCTAAATTGAGTAACTCACCATGATCAAGCTATTGAATGTTAATAAAATCAACTCTAATATTAACTCGCAAGAGGTATATGTGAAACAAACCGATTCTAATCATCAAGGGAGAGAGAAGTTGGTGGCGTCGCTGATTGGCAAAATTAACATTAACTCCAGGAATTAATAGGGTTAATCGCTTTCGCTCATCAAATCGGGAGCTTAGGAGTGTTCACACCAGCATTTAGATCAAATTTTAACCAACTCGGGCTCTCCCTTAGGCGTAGGAGTTCCCTAGGGGGTTAGTCACCTAGAACTTAAAATTAGAACTGAGATAATCTGTGGATAAATTTTAAGGTTTTAGTCACATAGAACTAAAACTAGAACAAAATTTTACAGTGTTAGTTAAGTAGAACTCTAACAAAACTAACACCCCCTAACAAGTTTCCCCTAGCACACTTCCCAAAAAATCTATTGCTGAATTTGAATACATGAGTTACAGAAACCATAAATCTCCTTTGTTGAATTAATTGACATGTTTAATCTCCTTAATAGATTTTTATATTTCATATATTTAAATAAAAATAATCAAATTATAGATTTTTTACCTACTATATATATATAACTACTAGAGAAAGATATATATGCGGATCTCGTCCTCTATGAATTATGACTTGCTTTTACTTTCTTTCTCTTTTGGGTAGGAATTAATTAAGCATTTGTAACTAGAGCTTAGTACTACTCTTAATTTGAAAATAAGCAATTATATATCTGGATTCACATTCCACAAGTCAGCATAGTAAGCTAGCGTACAAGAGAAAAAGCAACAGAGAAGTTAACTATTGCCCTCTATTTGACACGGCAACATTTTATGTTTACAATCAATACATGGTACTAATCCTATGATCATCTTTGAATATTAATATTGAGAAATCGCACAAAAGATTGACTTAAAGAAACAATCTTTAGAATAAGTTACTACTAGAACCAAGCCAGGTGGATATCTTATAGCTGAACTCCCATAGAATCGAACTGATATAATTAATTATTAATTACATGCATGCCTTTCTCCAAATTTTCTCACTGATATTCCATCCAATTCCTTGACCAAGTTAACACTGAGAAGGTGAGCTACAACCCAACTACCAAAACTACCACATGCACATCTTTACCCCGTAACTTCCACTATAAAAACCAAGCAAATCATGTACATCCTCAAACTACACGGCTACACTCCTCAAATATCAAAATGGCATCCAGCACAAACTCCCTCCTCTTGATTGCTTCCGTTCTCTTAGTTGGCATCAACATCTCCTACGGCGCTCGCCGGGCCGTTGGCTGCCTCCAGCGACCTCCGACGATTCCGGCTCTCGACCAGCAGCCGACGCTTGCACGCCGCTGGCCGACAATGCCAGGATTTCCGAGGCTCGCATGCCACCGTCAGCCTGCCTATCCTGCTATGCCTACTATCGGCCTACTATTCCCGACTACTTTTCCCTACTTATCGGCCTGGATTTCCTATGGTTACATTACTCGTATGGCCTTAATGTTTTACCTCCGATGCCTTCTGTTCCTCAGATTCCGATCACTATTCCGAATATCCCGGGTGTCCCTAACTTCTTCTCTCCGCCGCCTTCAAAGACCAGCCCGTGATTTTGTTCTGGTGCAGTCATAGGAGATATGTGAGATTGTGCGTGTTATCTTTCCCCCTTTGGGAACGTACTATTGTGATTGTTGTCATGTTGTGTGATTTTATGTCCGTGAGTTTGTTTTGTATTTGTATTTTCTGTTGTATGTTCAGATGTATTGCTATTCTTGGTATATATATATAGTTACGGCTTATATTAATGTGGAATGTGGATGCACTATGTTTAGGGAGTATTAGAAGACCCATTTACTTTGAGATTTTATCTAAAACTAACTCCCCTTAACGTTTCAAAGTTAAATAGGGTTTCCTAATAAAATTAAGTAAAGGGGGTTTTCTGATATTTAACCTTTTTTTACTATAAAACCCAAGAATCACCCCCCATTTATTTCCACTTTTTCAAAATTACCTGAAATATTTGATCAAGTCCTCTACTAAAATGAGAAGAAAGAAAGAAATTGATCAACTATATATCAATGTTTTTCTATTCATTTGCAATTTTATTAATTTTTTAGAGTTTGCGTTCGGTAAAGAATAGTAGTTAAATAATTTAATTTGTAAAGAAAAAAGAAGGCCTCCATACCACAAAAGTGTTACACTATATACATTATCTGTAGTAAATTACAAGCGTTATGTCCATGCATGCTTGCATAGATTGATATGATTTATTTGGTTTGTATATCTAATTTCTTATGAGTTTCTTTGTATAACTATGGTCTTGTTTCTGAAAATTTTATACTGAATTTTTTCTATGGACTGATGTTTCATCAAAAGTAGATAACTTGACTTGAAATTTCTTATTCACAAAAGAAATACAAAACAAGTACATTGATTATTTTTATTTTAGAATTTGAAAATCAAGTATGATGTCTTAACCATAACTCCGTCCTTCGTAGTATTCTAAAATGAAAAAAGAAAAAGAAAAGAAAAGAAAAGACTTTCTCACTAAATAAGTGTGAATAAATTATTTTAAATTTCAAATTTAAATTAGGGAGGGACATGCGACATCCTTTTTTCCGAGATGTAATGCTAATCGTAAGCAACAATCTCGATCTTTATATATATAAAGGAGTATTTTTTTTTGGAAGTAAAAACAAGGGTTAAACCCCGTTCATTAATAATCAGAATTATCAAAAGATAGATCAGTACAAAACAAGGACACGAACTGTGTCCATATGTTAGAATATAGAAAATAGAATTTCCACTAGAAGTGGTATATAACATTCTTCTTTCAAAGATCTATGAAGATGAAGATAGGACCTTGCCGTCATTCATCATTGACACAGATTTAGGGAAGAACCAAAGCCAGCCATACATATACATAGTAGAAATTAAAATTTCTATAAACAACAAAAAAGATAAAGTTAAAAAGATAATATAAGCAGAACTGTGTGTGAACAAAACAACAAGAGAAAAACACTTCAACTGTCATCAAACACTTGCTCTTGATATATGTTGACTTTCCAGCATGCTTGATAGATGTCTTGCTGCAACACCCCTTCGAGTCTCTGACCAGTCATACAAACCATAAATAGTTTGATTGGTAATATGTTTATAAGAGAAGCTCAATTTTTCGAACAAAGCTTTGTTCCTACTGATCCATATATTCCAGCAGACATGTGAGAAAATTGCACACCATATATAGCCTTGACGTCCTCTTAAATTTTCTATAATTTGAATCAAATCTTCAAAAGATGATGGCCATGAAAAAGGAAGATAATAATTTCTAAAGTGCACCCAAACTTGAGAAGAAATTAAACAAGAAAAAAATAAGTGGTCTCTGGTTTCAGGTTCCAAGCCGTAAAAGATACACATGGAATCTCCTTACCATCCTTTTCTCAAGTGGTTGTCTTTTGTATGAAGCTTATTTGAGCTTAAAAGCCAGATAAAGAAACTGACTTTACATGAAATGGTATTTTTCCAGATTAATTTGAAATGTGGTGAGAGGATGCCTCTAGAAATTAGAAACTGGTAAAAAGATTTCACATAGAAAATGCCTTTAGTTGTAAGCAACCATTTTGGGATGTCTGGTTGATCTGAGGTTTTGAATTTGTTTAAAAGATGCAAGAGGTTGGCTTTGTCTGTTTGAGATATGAGAGATATGCATCTTCGAAAAGCAAGGCTCCAATGCCAAGTAGAATTCCTCAATATTCCCTGACTGCATATAGGCACATTAGAAGATAGAGCTAACTGATATAAAGAAGGGTAAAGGCTGGATAAAGAGTTATAACCAGTCCACTTATCTTCCCAGAACCTAATATTTTCTCCTGAACCAATAGACCATGAGACATGATGAAGGAACTTCATTGACATTAATGCATTCCAGAAAGATGAATTGGAAGTAGTTGGTTTCATCAATTGAAGAGATGGTCCTCTAATAGAGTATAATTATCGAAGAAAATTACCAGAAATGGAATTAGAGTCAAGACATTTCCATAGTCACTTTGCTAACAAAGCAGTGTTAAAGGTTTTGATATCCTTGATTCCCAAGCCACCTTCAATTTTGCCTAGGCAGACTTTATTCCAGTTAACTAAACATTTGAATCCACTTGCTTCAGAGCCTCCTGTCCATAGAAATCCTTTTCTGACTTTATCGATCTCTTTTATGACCCAGGTTGGGACACTAGTAGAAAATCGACCAAACTAGACGGAACAATCTAGACGAAAAAAAATTTCGTCTAGTTTGGAGCAAAC